GAGAGAGAGAGAGAGAGAGAGAGAGAGAGAGAGAGAGAGAGAGAGAGAGAGAGAGAGACCGAGCGAGCGACCGAGCGACCGAGAGAGAGAGAGAGAGAGAGAGAGAGAGACAGAGACAGGCAGAGAGACATACAGCGAAGGAACTGAATATAGCATGTTCCTTCGCTGTCTGTCTCTCTGCCTGTCTTCGCTGTCTGTCTCTCGGTGACTCTCTCTCTCTCTCTCTCTCTCTCTCTCTCTCTCTCTCTCTCAACCCAAGAAAAAGAAGAAGAAAAATGTATACACGTGATGATAGGGGACCCATAACCATACTGTGGAGAAATATATATACATCCTACCCACAACTAATAATTCCGTATGGTATACGAACACTCGCAGCGAATAGACAAGTACACCATTTATGCTCCACGCTCCTTCATGTGCAACCAATTTCAAATGTACTTCCTCCTGAGTCCTAACCGATCTGAAAAGCAAGGAATAGTTTATCCGCCGTCCAATCGCATACACCCAGTACACCAAGCACGCATGTCAAGATACCAAGCAGCAAACACGATTCCTTTTCGCAGTCGATCTGGCATAAATCAGCCCTCGCAAAAGCAAAGCAACACTTCCAACCAGGAGTCCAGGACCCTCCACCTACACCCAGAATCGCAGATGACCCAACCATCAGTCATGCAGAACATCCCTCGCCCGTTCTCCACACTCAGTTATGAATAGCCCAAATAGACTCGGAGGGTGGCAAAACTAACAGTACACAAGCCTTCCCTTAAGTCAGTAGTAAGAGTACAACAGTGTGTGAAAGTCTCTCAATGATGGAAGCAGATGCGTCCCCCTCTACGGCCTCTACTCTTATGCTGGGGATTCGGAGCGAATGCCTTAGCCGGTGTCTGCTGGCGGCAACGCCCTCATTTCCCCCTCCGTTTTTGAAAAACGAGGGGGATACACACAACGTCATGCAGACATCAAGGTCTGAATCGGAAATGCAAACGTTGGGTGTTAGAGAGACACATACTATCGTCTTCCCCCGAACATAACGCACCCTGATAACGAAAGCATGGAAGCGATCTCTCCGGTCCGGTACAGCCATCAAAAGGGTGCGTTGTGTTCGGGGGGAAGACGGTAGTGTACAAGACAGGATGGCTGTGCGCATGCCACGTCGAAAAGGTGCAAAGGGGATAAATGAACGAGCGAGCCTTTACCTCACAGCGGTGACAGCTCCTTTGGCAGACCGGAAAGCCAAAAGCTATGGCTCTGTTGGCCAGGAGCACCACTTCGGAGACCGGGAGACCCCCCGTATGAATGGAACGTTGGCAAATTGGCAATCGACCCCGAACGACAGACTGTACAGACATAATATGATAATAGACTACTGCAGCACTGATGCACCGCAACAGCCGGCCTTGGAACTTGCAAGGCTGATTGTTTATCCACCAGCGTTGCTTGCAATTTATACATGGAATCATCGTCTCTAAAGAACCAACGCGACTCGTCGAAGCAGGCAAGGAGGGGGCTGCCAGCGAGAGAAACACAGAGAGAGAGAGAGAGAGAGAGAGAGAGAGAGAGAGAGAGAGAGAGAGAGAGAGAGAGAGGGTTTGGAGAGGGCGACGGGGAGAGTATGTCCCAAAACGTTTCTGTTCAGGCACAGGCCGTGAAACGTGGTCATTGACTCATTGGTGCCACCCAACGGACATTCTGACRAGGTCATTTGCATCATCGTCATACACTCAGCCTCAGGGCTCCGGGGCAATCGGCAGATTTCCATGTCCTTTTGCCCTGTCATATTCCAGGTCTGCTTATCTCATGGCTACGCCCCAATGCCTGGCTGTGGTTCCTCAGCTAGAAAATCAAAGTCATGGCATGCAAGGCATTGCAAGCGGCTGTGACTCTCGGGAAGTACTGGGGCGCCCTTTCTCTGGATGTCCATGCAGGCAAAACGGGCCGTTTTGCCTGCCAGTGGATGGATGGCCCGCAAAACGACACCCCGGAAGAGTCGTGGCACTTCCTGAGAGACAGTGAGAGTAGCAGAAGCACGCACGCCGCTACGTTTTTTACTTTCTAGCTGGGAAACGTACTGGGGGGGGGAAGCAACTTAGATGACCAACGTGGCTGAAAGTTTCAGACACACTCATGTATCTACCTGGTGATGAGCTGATGATGAGCTGATAATGAGCTGATGTTGAGCGGATTATGAGTTTCAATCCCAAACAGGGGATACAAGGATGGTTGATGCTCACCCTTTTTTTTTTTTTAAAGGCAATCTTTGCACTTAAGACAGTATAGTGTGCCTTACTTTCACCACTGCCCCTGCAAGTTTTTAGAAATAACTACTTTCTTTGAGCATTCCATCTTATTCCCATGCCATTGACCCAGCCGAAATTTGCGACGCCCTGGAGGGCTGGGGCGTGGAGAGAGGTTGAGAAGCAGGGGCATGCAACAAACTTGCACTGGCGGCGAGGGGCATGAAATCAATTAGTATGCCAGTAGCACAAAAACGTTTCCAGAAATGACAATTATGGGAGAAGAAAGGGAAATTTAATCGCAAATGCAAATGTGGTCACAAGCTCACTTCTTGCCAAACCTGCTCGGTTCCCAAGCGACAAGTGGCATTATTTCCGTCTCTGCCTTTTTTCATTTGCCACAGCACTTCATCTTTTCTTAATAAAACCTACGCTATATTCTTCTCTCAAATCTTTCATCATCTTCCAAATCCTTTGAATTCACCCTCACTACCTACCTACCACTCCTCCTAAGGCTTATGCAGGGGACCCATGCCTGCGAACAAAGCTTATTGTCTCCCCCCAGCCATCAGAGGCCCAGAGGGAATGCACGTTGACCTTCGACAGCTGCATTATCTCAAGGGATTGGTGTGGCGAGACCCTAACTGTACACTATACAACTCCACAATTCGCGAGTTCATCACTACGAGACACCGCCGCAGCACTACAAGACACGGCCTTGATGGCAATTTGGCCGCCCAGACTCCAGGCTCGCTGTCCGAAAGGCGGAGGGTCGACAGTTTTCCCCCTCTTTGCCACATAGCCTGTTGCTGTGAATGATTGAGCGCACGGTCGGCGCTAAAGATTTTGAGCGGCGAATGATCCCGCGCTCAAAGGGCCTTGAGCGGGGTTTGAGTGGGCGCGGGGATATTTTTTTTGG